TCCCTGTGAAGAAGTCAGCATGAGAGTGAAATGGAAGCAAAGTGTCACCGCCTTTCCCTGAGGTCCAGCAGTGATGTCATTGAGAGGATTTTCTTTTTCAATCATTTAAAAATTTTCCATTAGTTTTCTTTGGGCTACATCTGTTGTTATATTCATCATTATATACTGATACTTTACTACTTAATTTTGTATGTGTTTCCTTTCATAATTTCTCATTTTCTTCCACTTAGTCTCAGGTTTACACCCCTCATAAGACTTCTGTAGTCTTTTGAAGATGTGTTCTTTTTCCTTCTCTGAATAACCCACATAAGCTTTGTTTATGAATATCTGAGAGCTGTTATCATCTGTAGAAAAATTATAAATGCCTATGTCATCCCTATAATTTCTGAACTACTTGTGTGCTATGGATAGTATATTGTCAAAATGTTAAAGAAGCTTGAAAGCAAATGCAGATGCCAAACAAAGTCTCCTGTGCGTAAGTTTCTGTCTCAAAGAGACTGACAGGGTATGCTTTGAGCCTGGAGGAAGGATTTGGTATGCCTGATGATAGTAACTGGAGAAAGATGCATAGACACTGAAGGATACTCAGTCTAAGCCTGATAATTAGAACTTGTGTCCACTAACCACCAGTGTTTGCTGCTCTCAGACCACATAGATTTTATTAAGAAACTGGGAGCTGGTGTCACTGCATTTGAATCCTCCATTGTTTACCGGCTGTGTGTTCTTGGGCAAATTACGTAAACTCTGAGTTTATTGCCTCATTCCTTAAAATGTTGATAATGTTATTACTTTCTAAGAATGCTGTGGGGGCACCTGGGTGGCTCAGTCGGTTAAGCGTCCAGCTTCAGCTCAGGTCATGATCTCGTCGTTTGTGGTTTTGAGCCCCGCTTTGGGCTCTGTGCTGACAACTAGCTCAGAGCCTGGAGCCTGTTTCAGATTCTCTCTCTCCCTCTCTCTCTCTGACCTTCCCCTGCTCTCTCTCTCTGTCTCTCCTAGAAATAAATAAAACATTAAAAAATTAAAAAAAAAAAAACCAGAATGCTGTGAAGATTGAATGGCAGAATGGATGTGAATGCACCTACCACACCGAACATAAATACAAGCACTTACTTGGCCACAGAAGGAAGTAGCTCTTATTGCTCACTGCCACCAGCAACCAATCAATCAACAGTTAAACGAAACACCAGCTTCTCTAAATTTAAGGAAACGTTCTCTTTAGAGAATCAAGTTTTCATCCTTTCAGTGAGGCAATTAGCAATCATCTGACATAGGAAGTAGGAAAACAAAATGGAGAAAGATGAGACAAGATTAGGGAAAGGGAGAGCGGATGGAGCAAGAGACTGGAGAGTATGAGAGCAATTATAGAATAAAGATGCTGAGGTCTTAACTTGGGTTTATGTCCATGCGCATAGATGTAGGGGGAGACCCAATATTTCCAAACTGTGCTCACGTGACCAGTGTATAAATGCAGGTTCATCATGAAACTAATACTCAGCTTCAATGTTCCCTCACTTGCACAAATGAGCTCCTTCCAGGGCTCTGGGAGAAATTGTGGTAATGTGATTACATATTCATGTGTTTTCATAAAATCTGCAAAATGTTTGGACTGCAATTAGTTAAGATGGTTGCCTTTCACTTCAGCTTTCTCTGTCACTCTTCCCATCACACTGGCCAGGAGAGAGTTAGGGGGGAGGCATGGGGGTGGAGTGGCCCACCCAGGCATTTTGAGGCTCCTACCAAGTAAAGATGAGTTGGGAATATATTTATTTTAAGTTTTGTGGGATGCATATTTGTGGGTCACAAATGCTCATGTTAAGTTATTGCTAGCTGTTCTGTTAGGAATGGTTTCCAGGAATAATCCTACTGCCCATCATGCAACATCCTTAAAAACCTGTAAAAACAAAACAAAACAAAACAAAACCCAGGGCCATAGGTTGTACCATGGTATAAATATGTCCTACTGCACCTGGCATTGAAGTAATGTGTAATGGAGGAGAAACAATGTTTGAAAAGTATGGAGCCAAATGGCTTGTAGAAAAGTCTAACCTTCAGATATGTCCATTTGCAAGAGATGAACTTAGTTCTCATTAATACCTCGAAAAAAAGTTGTTAAGAATATACTCAATAATGCATCATATGTAATTATCAGTGCATGATCATTATTTTTCCTGATGGAATTTGTGTGAAATTTATCAAAATGTCGTATGTAAGGCACAAAACCTCTAGCAGTATTGAAGACACAGTACAATTGGGTATGAAGTCATGTTTTAAGCATCCCAATATACCACATCTCATTACCAATAAAATGAAGCTGACGTTTTAAAAAAAAACTATCAGTACTATAACAAATTTCATCAGCCATGTTTCAGGCTGAATTATGTTTCTGTTACCTCTTTAGAAACAATACATTACAAAATTGTCGATATGAAGAAGTGTGCAAAGATTATGCAAACTGTAAGAAAAAGAAGTATAGTGTATGTCAGGCAATTAGTAAAAATATTGTGCTTATATTGATTCTGTGATGTCTATATCAACTTTGAAAATCTGTACTTTATTGTAATTTCGTTTCTCACCCAAACTAAATATTCATTTTTCTAATAAATTTTGTAGTAATAATTTAGTTCTTTTTTCTCTTAACAACTCTGCCCTCCCCCCCACCCCGCCCCCCAACCAAACTGTATAAACCTCAAACCTTACTTGACCCTGCCTGGACAGTGAGATAATTCAGGATAGAACATTTTTTCTAGAAAGGGACATTAGTTCACTCCTAACGCTGCTGAGAGCTTCCAGTTAATCACGAAACTCAAATGAATCATACCACAGACGGGGCTACTTTCAGAAATTGACTCCTTTTCTTTTAGTACCTAGCTACGGTCTTTTAATTCTCCATAATGGATCAGCTGCATCTTAGAGCAGACGCTGGCTAAAGCCTTGGGGCATCCTTGCACTTAATGACTTTCCCTTTCAAATTAGCATGAGACCTCTCAAGCCTTATTTCCTCCCAGCAAAATGGGGCAGCCAGGACACAGGATCTAGAGATACCAAAAGAAAAGTTTATGATGTTCTCTCTGTTATTGCTCTAAGTAAAAAGTTTATCTTAATTTCTCTTTTTTTTTTTTAATGAAGGATAACCCTATGAAATCTCTTTATGTCTTACAAATTGGGCTTGAATTGTTTCTGAGATAAAACCAAGTGCTCTTTGTTATAGTGATTACAAATGAGATATTAATACTGTGATTATTAAATTTGGCTTTCATTTCTATCGAGGCTGAAATCATCAGTCTTTTTAACAAGAAGATCTATGCCCTGGTTTCTCAAACCTATACAAGCATGCTGAACCAACTTCCTGAGCTAGAAGCCATGGGAATGAAAAGACAGCAGAGCAGACATGAAGCTGCTGCATCTTACTAATCTGTAAATTAAATGATCCTCACATGGTCTATCTTCCTTCTGCTTTGATCAGACATCTGCTTGTTTGTGTTTTCCAATCAGGCAGCGTTTCATTCCTTCCCTTCCTCTCCAAAATATTTCTTTATTTTCACATTTATAGAAAGGGCTTTACATAATGGCTATATTTATTCCTTCTGTACCTCTTAGTGGAATGAAATGTATCTCTGTATCTCATCTCCATTTAAGTTTAGTGACTTCCTGTCTTCTTGGTCAATGTTTATATCTCTTAGGGTTTTGAGTTTGTTTTGTGAAAAAGATGCTAAGAACCTCTTTCCAAAATTGTCTCAGACCTACTTAGAGTCTTCAGACATATATAGTTTTTGCTGATTCTCTCCTACTCCTTTTCCCTCCATTTCTCTATTCATCCTTGCTCTCCCTGCCCCCTTCCCCTTGATTTCGTTACCATTCAGAGAAGACTGAGGAGAGCAAGAAGTTACTTGCTGGATCTCCTACTCTATTGGGACCTGAGAGGGATTTGGTACACCTTGACAACATGACTAGTGATGACATCAGGCAAGAGAACAGTTTCTGCCTAGAGACAATTTGGATCTCAGACTAGATTGCAACCATTGGTGAAGTCAGAACATCACAGAAGGCACAGACACTTTGTGAGCCACCAGTAGAAGCAAATGATTGTGAACTTAGGGAAATGTTTCTTGGAATTGTGAAACGAAATTTTTATCTTTCCGTTTCTGGGCGAGCTACCACCCCAATCCTTCTTAAGATATCATTTTGAGAAAATATTCACTTGATATTAAAAAAAGCCTTTAAAAACTTTAGATTAGAATAGATGTCTCACCAGCCACCTGAGCTCAAGCTTCAATCTGCATTTTTATTTATGTTTAATCCACATTCCTCACTTAGTCCACAATGTTCTCCTTAATAATTTATCTCTTACACCTTTCTGTCATTATTCCAACCAGGAGGGAAACATCTCCAGACATTCAAGTGGCAACGAAAAATTTTGTGTATATCTTTTTTTACATTTTTTAAAAGTCTATTTATTTATCTTGAGAGAGAGACCATATGCATGAGCAGAGGAGGGGCAGAGAGAGAGAGGGAGAGTGAGAATCCCAAGCAGGCTGTGGGATGTCAGCACAGAGCCCGATATGGAGCTCAAATTCACAAACCATGAGATCATGACCTGAGCCAAAACCAAGTGTCAGACACTTAACCAACTGAGCCACCCAAGTGCCCCAACTTTGTGGGTATCTTGACTCTGATTACAGAATACTCACTGATCTTCAGGACCTCATATGTGGCTATCAGAATTCAAGGCTTAATTTATCTGGGAACATATCACTACTATTTACATCTTCCATTTCCTCTAGATAGGAAAGATCACCAGCTATTTAAGCTACAATTACTTTTGTATTACATCTTTTATAAATTTAATACTACAGGAAAAAATATTTTAAAGCATGCACAAAAATTAAGAGCAAAAGAAAACATGACAATCATTAAATGTCAATATATTTTTGAGATACTAGTTAGCTAAGGCAAAAAGAGAAAGCTGATGAATTAACATTATTCCATAAAAGGAAATGTACCTGTTCCTCAGATGACGTCTTTTTAAATGTCGACTTCTAATGCAATTAATCAGATTACAACATTCCAATAATATCACCATCTCCCATGTTCTTCAACTCTTAGATATATGCAATATCTGTAAAATGGCATAGTAATGGTAGCTATTAGAATCCACCATTTCTGTAAGTCAAGTAGTTACATATTGCCAATTTCATATGGCATAAAAATCATTATCTCATTAGCTTAAGTTTAGTAATATAGGGAAAAAATGTTCCCATCTTTATCTCCAACCAAACCATTTCTCCTTTTAATGGTAATTGTGTCTTCATCCAGAATGTCTTTAATATAAGCCAAAAAAGTACATATTCTTTATTTTTCCTTTTTTTTTTTTTTTTGCAAAAGAAAATGTAGACCACACTCACTGGTATATGCTTTACTTTCTTTCTTTCTTTTTTTTAATGTTTTATTTATTTCTAGGAGAGAGAGAGAGAGAGAGAGACAGCATGAGCAGGGGCGGGTCAGAGAGAGAGGGAGTCACAGACTGAAACAGGCTCCAGGCTCTGAGCTAGCAATCAGCACAGAGTCCGACGCGGGGCCCAAACCCACGAACCGCGAGATCATGACCTAAGCGAAAGTCTGACGCTTAACCGACTAAACCACCCAGGCGCCCCTGTGCTTTACTTTCTAAAAAGAAACTTAACACCACAATTTATGTATTAGTAGCTTCTTGTCCTCCTCACCCCTCCGTTTTAAAAAAACGAACATATAAATATTCCATTGTAAGAATCTAATATGATTTATTTTATCAACCCCAACTGATGGATTTTTCAGGTTGGTGGTATTTTTAAGATGACTATTGACATCATCAGGTAAACCGTTTACTATTACAAACAATGTTGTAGTAAATAGCACGGAAGGTACAATCCTATGTGTGCAGATGTAGGATTAAGATATATTCTCAGGAATGGAATCGCTGGGTCCAGTGGTAAACATATTTGCACTTGGGATGTGCAAATATGCATTATATTGCTTCTACAAGGGTGGTTTATGCTCCTGCCAAGCAATGAATAAAAAAGCCACTTTCTTAAAGCTTTGCCAGCATACTATGTCATTAAATGGTTAGAATTTCTGCCTATATGACAGGAGGAAAATAGTGTTTTTGTATGGTTTTAATTTGTATTTCTATTACTATGAATAGAGCTTAGTACTTTTTTCATTGAAGGTACTCTCCCGGCCCTCCGCCCAGAAAGAGGCTACTCTTTTCTCCCCTTACTGTTAAGTTATGGACCTTTTTCCCATCATTTTCTAGAAGCGCTTTATATATTAAGAAGATTGACACTATACTTCTAATATAAACTTTAAATACTTTTCCCAGTTAGTCACTTATATTTTGATTTTGCCTATTGTTTAGTTTTTTAACTGAGCAGAAGTTTTTATTTTTATTGAAGTCAGTGTATCCATTTATTTATCTTTTCTTTAATAGCTTCCAGATTTTAAATTATAGAAGGGCTCCATGTCTGTAAAGGATTTTGCTCAAGTTTTCTTCTAACACTTTCATGGTTCTTTTAAACAATTATTTGATTCTTGTGGAATTGATCATATTATAAAATGGAAGATTTGAACATTATTTTTTTGATGCCTAACTAGCTCTTCCAGCATCATTTATTGAAAGTCCATTTGTCCTTTGTCATTTCAGATGCACTTTTATATAGGTCCAACTTTGGATAGATAGTTTCATATTTATTTTGTTTCATTGTCTATTCTTGCACCTGTATCACATTGGTTTCATTTTACAAAATTTTTTATCTGTTTTAACATCTGAGAGTTTTAGTCCCTTTTCAATGCTCCTATTTTTCAAAATTTTCCATGTTATTTTTTCTTGTTTATTTTTCCATAGATTTTAAAGTAACTTTTTCTAGTTCTTAAAAGGGTCCTGTTGATACTTTTGAGATTACAGTACATTTTTAAGTTAATTTAGGGAGAACCAACATCTTGTTATTTTTATCCCCTAGAAACTATACCTTTTCTTTGTTGCAATTAGAAACAGGATCTTTTTTTTTCTCCTATTACATTTTGTAACTTGTTCCTTTTATATATGAAATCTATTGATTTGTGAATACTAATTTTCTACTCTACTACCTTATTGAATTCTCTTGCTCCTTCTAGTAGTTTTCAGGTTAATTTTATTTTCCAAGTATATAGTCATATCACTTGCAAATAGTGACAGTTGTATATATATCCTTCCCATTTTATACAAGCAATATATTAATATATTATTCATTGTATAAAAAATCAAGCAATACAGAAATATTGTGAATCACAAATAAGAATCCTTTTTAACATCTCCAACCATTTTCCTCAAATGCAACCCACTGCTCATCTAAAGTTTTCTCTGTATATTCCCATAGGTCTATATGTGAAATTATGCATAGTTTTGTTTTTCTATCTTCATATTTAGAATGTATTTTATATACTATCATTTTACACAGTAGTCTTTAAGAATAATTCTTTCAAACAATCACAGATGTAGTTTGCAGGTACGGAACAAAGACTTGCTTTCCTGAGTCATTTTAGAGGAAGTTACTAACCTAATAATCTATAAACCTGAATACTTTAGTGTAAATTTCCTACATACAAGGATGTTATCCAAGAGAATCATCAAAATCAGGTAATCAACATCAATACAATAAATCATCTGAGACTCCATTTGCCTTTCACCCATTGCCTTACTAATGTTATTTATAGCAAAAGAATCCAGCTCAGCCTTATTGTTACATTTAGTTGTAATGTCTTTAGTCACCTTTAGTTTTTCCTTGACTTTTGTGATCTTGATTCCTATGAAGATTAGTGGCCAATTATTTTGTAGAATGTCCTTCAATTTGGGTTGGTTTGATATTTTCTCCTGATTAAATTCAGGTTATACCCAAGAGCACAGTCACAGGAACATCACAGAAGAAAATCTGTATCCTTCTCATTGTGTCTTATCTGGTGGTACATGACTCTCATTTGTCCCATTACTGATTATATTCACTTTGATCTTTTAATTAAGGTACTATTTGCAAGCCTTTGCCATGGTGATGTTACTCCTATACTTTTGTAATTAGTAAGCATTTTGCAAGGAGTTATTTTGAAACCAAGTAAGTATCCCACTCCTCATCAAAATTTTTACTTATTTCTTTATGTATTTATTTATATCCATATGAACATGCATGATTTCATATTTTATTCAATGGGTTGTCCTGGATCAGGCCAGTGAGGGCTTCATCAAGGTGATTTCTGTGTTTTTTGTCGTGTCTCCTGATGGTCTTTAAGTACTTCCTTGCTTCTGGTACAGCAAGATGTTTTAGACTTATATTTCTACCTCAGCCCTAGAATCAGCCATTTCTTCAAGCAATCCCAGTTCCTTTCAGTAGAGAATGATATTTAGAAGCCAGGATCTAGACACTTGGTATGCTTACTGCTGTTAGAGTATCTCTGTTCCCAGATCCTTTACATGGACAAAGCTAGAGAATATATGTTTATGTATATGTATATGTGTATGTATTTATATATTTACATCTTTTTTCTGAACTCATTCTATGTCCACCCTGATATTGAAAACCAGTTTCACACTGATAGTTCCAGTGTGAAAATTTTAGTATTTTCCCTTTCATAGCGAGAGACCCCTTCTTTGCTGGTGATAAAATTGTCTCACATTACCCTTAAGAGGTTTAGTTATTTCATTAGGTTTCCTGAATGCAGTCAGTCGACTATCTCCACCACCATCCCACCCCCCAAGCTCACATGGGCATCATCTTCACCCTGTTCAGATTCTGATATCCCACTCTAGGGCACTGAAGCTTCTCCTGTTTCTGGGGGGTCACCTATCTTGTATCCATGTAATGACTTTAGCAATGAAATTGTTCAGGAAGAAGTAGTGCAATAGGAAGTATAGATTGATATTTTTAATGGGTTTTTTAATAGTAAAATAACCCAAACATCAATTTGGAAATCAAAACCAGTCTTTAATTGGCTTTATGTTTTACTTAATGTATGTATTAAAACATCTTTCAGTGTAAATATATATACATCCACTGCATTCTTTTCAAATTGCCTTGATCAGTCCTATATTATGATTATACTGTGGCTGGTCAATAGAAGGATGATAAGATCTACCTTTGATTTCTTTAATATTTCAATTTACAAACAATGGATATATTGTAGATATTGTCTTTTTGTGTATATTTCCATGTAGAAAATGCAAAGTGGAACTTCTGGGCTGAAAGATACTATTGGTACATTATTTTAGTCAGTGTTTTGGATAAATTTTCTTTTGACCTACTTATGTTTTCTTAGTGATTTGAAAGAAATTCCATGTAATAAGAATATTAAGACTGTTTCTTATGTTGCAACTCTTTCTATTTTTTGGTCTGCCATTGTTTTCTCATTCTTTTATGGTGTCTTTAAGCCATATGCAGTTCAAAAGAAAAATATATATATTAAAGAGGATATATATGTTATATAGTATAACATGTATATTAAAGAGGATTAATCTATCCATCTTTTTCTATAGCTTTCATTGATTTTTTTAATTTTCTTTAGAAATTTCTTCTGATTTTTTTTTCAGACAGCTTTTCTTTTACTCCAGTATTTTCAACTGATACAGGGCTCAAACTCAGGAACCGTGAGATCATGACCTGAGCTGAAGTCAGACACTAAACTGAGCCACCCAGGCTCTCCATGACATATTTTTAAAAATATTTTTTAACGTTTATTTATTTTTGAGAAACAGAGCACAAGCAGGAGAGGGTCAAAAAGTGAAGGAGACCCAGAATCCAAAGCAGGCTCCGGGCTCTGAACTATCAGCAGAGAGCCCGATGCAGAGATCAAACCCATGAACCCTGAGATTGTGACCTGAGCCAAATTCAGACACTTAACAGACTGAGCCATCCAGGCACCCCTCTTTCTTCATTTTCTTAATGAGCACTCTTGATACACAAGAAAGTCTGCATTTTGATGAAATAACATTTTTCTATTTTTTTAATTGTTAGTGTTTTTTGTATCCTATCTCCCCACCCCTCCCCAAAATTTGCCTGCCTCTTATTTGCTAAAACATTTTTTTCTGTTTTCCTTTAAAACATTTGGAAGTTGGCTCAT